TCTATAAACTAGTATATCAACTCAAAACTCCCCAGACTATATCTTAAAATATAAAATCAAGTAAAAAAAACTTTCCTCTCCATCAACCCCAATCCAAGGAGAAGAAAAGAAAAGGCTCTATTTTAATTACACAGTACTTAACCTTATTAAAATTCCAGATCAAGTGGTTACTAACCTTATTAAAATTCCAGATCAAGTGGCATGTTGATTAAGGGAACATTTTAGATTTTCAAATCAACAACATGATAAATTAAATCCAAAAGCACCGGGGATGTTGGTTCTCGAAGGTTGTGGGAGACAATGGCATTAATGGTGTCCCAATTCCAAGTCATACGTGGGTCCATTTCCAGGATTGCATAATGCAAGGAAGCCAAGTGTTGAGTTCCATTGAGTGCCCAACATAGGAGACATGAGGACTTGGGAGTTACCTTCCTGGTTTTCAAGGTCCCCGATTCCAGTTGTACCAGGAGCCCGTTTATCCTAATTACAAATATACATTTCATAGAGACTTCTTGCGAACTAATTTATAATACAAAGAAATCTTTCATTTATTCTAAATATGGATTCATGGGCATTATTTTTTTGCCCAAGATTTGCAATTAAGCTTATGGTGGAAGATCTAGGAATCTATAAGATTCATGGACTCAATCATGGATATTTATTTAAGCTTGGACCCTACCTAAAGCATTTTTTCGCACAGCTTAACCTCACATGATGCACCAACCTACAAGTTGTTACGTGGCTTGTGTATAATTTAGTTTTTCTGCACATGCACATATTTGTATATTGGTGATAGCTTTGTTGTAATTATGATATGAAATCCTCAGATTTAATGGCGGCATTTTGCTAGAAAACAAATATATACCAAGTAAATTAAAAAAAAAAAGGAAAAGAAAGAAGAAGAGGCAGCGGTTATCTAGCTTTTTCTTCTCTCTTTAATTTGATATCTTATCAATTAAATTCATGTACAAACTAATGTGTCGATTTATAATTAATAAAATATGGATCCTATGATTTTTAAACAACTAATCCTTCGTATATAAAAAAATAAATGTCTCATGTATTTGCATAAAAACTTATATGAAAAGTTTGTTTATACATTGAACATTACTAAACGGAACATCGCAACCCCTAAAATCGAGTCAGGTGGACAGAAAAAAGATATGATTTAAATAATTTAAAAAAATAAAAAAAATGAATATAATATATCAATTTGTTCATGTAGCTCTATCTAAATAAATAGAGTATTAAGACCTAAGCGATAGATATTTCTAAAATATGAAAGATTTTTCCATAGCATATTTTCTAATCTCCCAATATCACGGTATACATTAATAATCATCTACACTTACCTAGGGATATTGATTTAGAAATTATTCCCATGTTCGGTAACTATGCCTTGATTTTGCTTTGAAAATGCATGACATTTAGCAGATGCGAAAATACTGGGATCCATCCTTTTTTAAGAACCTCGAGGAAAGTTTCTAATATTTAATTTTACTTCAACAGTTCTGAGAACACAGAGTCTACGATCACACATGCATGGACGCCTGCACCCTCTCAACTTCACAGTATGATCCATGAAACACATTAATTTGGTGTTCAGATGAAGGGGAAAAAAGGGGGAAAAAAGAGAGGAACACCTTCACCATAGATAAAGGGTTTAATTCTTTACGAGTCCCCGTGTAGGAGTATAAAAAAATGGCAAAAAATCAACATGAGAATCGTATATATAATATAGGATTTGGTGGATGGATTTGGAAGTATGTAAACACGTAGACAGCGTTTTCCAAGGGACTTGTTTATGCATATAAATACTTGCTTTGTAGATCATGTGGAGTAATATAGTGCACCCTGGCTTGTTCTGTAAGAGTTTGCATGTGCCCACAATCTACAGTAGATATGATATTCTCTACATCTCTCTCCACTAAACTTTGTCTAGTTTGTTCTTCTTTTTTCCTTTTTATTTTTTTCCTTTCCCGATATTATATGATACTGTTGAGTAGATCACTCATCAAATCACACCTAATCCCTTCTTTCATTATCCTCCTTGCTCACATATACGTGCATTCACTCATATTACATCCACATGGGATGATAAATTAATCGATGGTGAAGAGAGGAGATCTCGAAAAGAGTATTTAGAGGTCCCAATATGCTATTTGAGCTCTCGTACAGACTCCCTCCTTGAGAAAATCCACCAAAAAAAAAAATGAATAATAACTCGATCGATAGTAACTGTGTGTAATATATGAATAATTAGATTACATAATGACAAACGTCTATGGGGCAGGTATGTGAACCATCTGATTCACGGCATAATTTAATAACAATGAACACATTTTTTTTATATATAAAAAAAACAGTATTGTATTTCTTTTGACTTTGTTGTTCAGAGGTTGCCTCAAGCATTGGTAATCGAATAGTTTTATGGAGACCACGGAAATGCGGACTCAGGCGAGTGGTATTGGATTTAAATGCAGCTTCAAAAAAGTTAGCGTATAATTTTTTATTTTTATTTTTTGTAAGAAGTCAGTGATGGAAGACCATTTTTATATGGACAAGAGACCTAAGAAGTTGGGATTTATAATTTAACTAATATAAAATAGCCCTACCCTAATATATATTGACTTTGAACCGTGAATATTGTTCTATTCAATGCATATATCATCAATATATTCGACTTCTAATCTATGCTGCCATGTTTGCCACAAACAAACATTGAATTCAATCTAATTAGTCCATCTAGTTTTAATTATCATAATTAATATTATTGATTAATTAAGACAAACTACTTTTTTTCTTACAAAAACATGGTATCATATAAAATCAAATCACACAACGTAATTGAACTCATAAATGTAATTAAGCTCACCAATAATTTAGCTTTTATTATTATTATCATCAATTTTGTTAAAAACATAAACTATTTAGACAGTCACCATAAAAAGAGATAAAAAAAAACTTATATTGAGGATTTTTAAAAACATTTAAAGAAAATGGATGAAATAAATCAAAATCATGAGAGTAAGTTCTTGTCTAAATCTTAATATTATTTTGGATTAGCAATGTATATATATATATATATAGCTATAGCGGTGCTGGAGGATAAAAGCTTTCAAGCTAATCAACTTTTTTTTAATGTAGATGACTTATTAAGAACTGAACATGTACAATAGGCTGGCAAATCAATATTTCATGTACATGTTGAACCTCGCTGCCTCATTTTGTGGTCAAAATCAAACACCATGAAGCGGTATGGTTTATTAATTTAAGAAACAAGGGGATATATGCGTGCTAGTAAACTCGTGGAGTAGGTTTTAATTTAGCAACTTTTGAGGTTTGGCATGGAATATAATATAATAATATTATATAAACTTTTCATAATCATATTTAACCAATAATTTACGGATGATTTGATTTTAATTATATATAAAAAGAAATTGAAGTGTCATTGGAAGGGATAGGTGGGGTCTTGGGTAATTGCATGAGTTCACATGTCTGTTTAAGAAAATTGGAGGATTCTCACTTTCCACCACACAACAACTCATAACCTATGACCCACAAATCATGCGTTAAACAGCTCAATTAGATTTGGTTCCTCCCTACCCACTTCATAACACGATATACACTTATCTGCTTCAAAATTACCACGATCTTCAGCTAAAAAACAAAAGATTTAGTTAGCATCTCATTAATTTCCCACTGATCTTAATTAAATTCGGGGATTTTGGACTCCTTTGAGCAACATATATCTTTTGCATTGAAGGCATTTTCATGAAAAACGCTCGAAGAAAGAAGATTAGAGAATATTAATGATCATAACCACTTTGGGTTAGAATGCCGAGAAATCTCCCCTCTGATCATTACAAAGAAATCCCTCAGAAGCTGCAAACAAGATTTCTTGAATCTATAATGGTTAAAATCGATTTGGTCTCCCTCTACTCTTAATGGAATAAAACGTTTATTGTATAATTATTATTTAATGAGTTGCTTAATACAGTTTTTACAGCTGGGGCTTTTTAGGGTTTTGTCAGCTATGCCTCACAAACGGGACCACCATAGCCATCCCCCCCAAAACAAAAAAATATTTACTAGATCAATACCACCATTAATGCAATTCTAACCCCCACCATCCTTTGGAGAGCGTGTTATATATATATATATATATATATATATGAAAGAACATGAGATAAAGTTGAGCAATATTTTAATTAACATCTAGCTAAACAAGTACAAAATGAAAGCAATTTTTTATATAAAAAAATGTAAAGGGTCATGCTCCTTGCTGATGTTCTATGAATGTCCTTATGCGGAAGCCAAATTCAAGAAGTATAGTGACTTCATACTTGATCTTTTTTTTTTTTTTTGAGACAGTATTAGTCCAAGCTTAATTCTAAATTACTGGGTTGAAGGTTATATATATTGTATATCACTACAAGTTGAAATAATTTAATCAATTTTCGTTTTCTAATGAGAGATTAACATTTTAATTTAATTATCACTTGAGTTGCAACTTAATTAAACAAGAAAAAAAAAGATTCTAGAAATGTTGTATTAGTTTTGTCCCGATCCATTAATTAATTAATTAATTAGGAACGCTCTATAGTGGCGCGTTAAGTAGCATCGAGTGATATGGTTAATCAAAGATTTTTAGAATTTTAAACACGCTAAAGAAAGATAATCGCTTTCAAGTCATGCTAAGTGTAGGCAAGTGTCATAAATATCATTTTTTAAAGCATTTTTTTAATAAATATATTAAAATAATATTTTTTATTTTTTAAAATTTATTTAATTAAAATGATTTTAAAATATTAATTTTAAAAATCAAATTTTAACAATAAAAAAACAGGTTAAACATCAATGTCAAAAAGCCTATAGTCTACAAAGAGCATAACCAGAGAAAATAAATTAAATTAAGTAATTAGCTACAATAATATAATATAGAAATGGTCATTCAAGATTGTAATATTAAAACAATTTATGGGAGTTCTAAAAAAGAGGCAAGAGAGAGGAGGAGGGAGGGGAGCATAAAATCTAAGTATATATTTCTATTAAATCTGCACACAATCTGATCCAGCGATGCAATAATTACTAGGGTATCAAACAGCTTAAAAAGGGTCTTGGAGATCTCCGATTCCTCAGCACTAGTTTGCCTGCAGAAAGTTTTTGTTTTTCTAGTCAGAGAAAGCTCTGGGATTTGCAAAGCAAAGCTGAGACATACAGTACCTCAATTCTCTTGCATACAGCTCACATCATCTCTCTCTCTCTATCTCTCCCTTTTTCTCACACACAAATTAAGAAGAAAGAAGAGAAGAGAATATCATGGATAGCGGTTATTTTGGAGAGCCTAACTTTGGAAATAATGAAAGAGGTGGCTCTTCGAGGAAAGGCAAGAAGAGCAATTCAGACAAGCCTAAGCAACCGCAGAGAGGCCTTGGTGTTGCTCAATTGGAAAAGATCAGATTACATGGCCAAATGGGTTGTAATTACCATCCCTCCCTTCACAGTACTCCTTACCCTACAACTTTCAACCAGCAGGTATCTCTCTCCTTTTCCCTCTCCACCTCTCTCTTGATCAGTACTGATGTGCATAATTAAGCTCAGTTTTTATAGGGTTTGTAGAAGTTTGTCGAGTATGGACTTGATATACAAGTATGTTGGTTGATATACGTGCAGGAGGATATAGGAGTGCAAACAGGATATTCATCAGCACCATCATCCTCTTTTTCTTACTCTTCATCAGCAGCAGCAACCTCGGCTTCCTATGGCTACCCCCACACCATGGTATAGGAACTTGCTTTCCTTATCTCTTCCTTTCTTTAATTATTTATTTGTAGAATTGATAACCCTAAATTTCATTCTAGTCAAAATTGCATATATGAGCTCACATCTTGAATGGAAATCAATCGTGTGTGTGCATCAATATATACATATCCCCACTTTACACAACTGTGCATCTTGAATGAATTTGATATAGATTAGTACTAGTGATGAGGAAAATAGAAAGAAGAAGAACAAATTTAATTAGTTTCAACCAATTGGATTTTCATTAACGTTTAGAAAGTAGTCCTCTCCATCATCATCATCATCTGAGTCTTGGTTTATTCGAATTAAATTGCAAAGTACATGCTTCCAATTCGAAATAATTTTCCGTACAAGAACTCTTCAAGGGATCTTATTATTCCCCTTGGAAGCTTAATTTTATTTTATTTATTCTTGTTTCTGTATTGTTTCGTAAGCTTAATTTTGTTTAGTTATTCATTTACACAAACCCTAGTTCCATGCCTGTGAAATATACATATATATATGAATATTCCACACCATGTCATCTTTTCTCGTAATGTAGCAAGGAGGAGGAGCTTAAATTAATTAGTCTGACATTTGCTTTCCCACTATATGCCTTGTCCGAAAATCATCAATCTTACTTGGTATTGCAGATGGGGATCGGTGATTATGATGGAACGAATATCAGATATGGCGATTCTCAACCCTCAAGCACTGCAGCAAGGTAATTAATCTCCTATGCAATTTGATTTAATTCTAGAGATAAGGGCTTGTTTGTTGGAGCAAGGTCTAGAATTTCATGTCTTTCCTTGGAAGTTTGCTAAACCTTAGTTACACTAGATAGGTTTCTAATGAACCAATATCTTCAATTTCTTTATACATTAGTTGGAATTCCGGACATGGATTCCGTGAGGCTCAACATTTTGCACAACCAAATTCAACTAGACACCTTTTGCCTCTACAAGCTGAGGTAATTAATGCCTTTATCCTCCATAAATTTCTACGTAAAATAAGATTCTCAGGCTAGGATTCTGGTAATGTGATACATCATGTTTTGACATCAATCTCTTTCATGGTCTTGTTAATTAGGACACACCGCCAAAAAAGAGCAAGAAAAACCGAAGTAGCTCAATGGGCTCCAGCAGTCAAAATTCTGAAGCAAGTGACACTCAAGAGCTAGATTTGGAGCTCAGATTGTCTATTTAATCATCATTCTTCTGCCAATTAAAATCGAGGATTCTTTTTATGCTCTTAATTATTGATTGGAAGTTATAATGATGATTGGCTTGGCTTTGGAAAACTGCACCACAAGGTAGGAAATGTTGATATGAAAGAGCCTGAACTTTCATTTGAAAGGGATCTTAATTATGTAATTAAAGATCATGGATTCACTTTCTGCATAAGAAAATGAAATTTTCTTCTTGTTCATGAAATGTCAAAGAAACGAGAAAATTATAGTAATCATCCAGAATTCTTGCTTTCGTTCATGTCTACCAGTCAGTATCTAGCAAATCACAGTTTCCTTGATGAAACTTATCTAACTCATAGGATAATGAATGCTTCTGTTCTCTTACCCCCTTTTGTTCAATAGCACTAATTAACTTTATTAAAGAAGATAAAAGAGAGATCAATAAGAATAAAACAGGTTAAACCTTCTAAAAGGGTGATTAATCAGAGCTGTCTATTGACGAAAAAGTGATGGACGACCTTGGAATCTCCACGTAATTTCTTTTCCTGTGTGAAAAATTGATGCATTGTCAAGGAAAACTGAGCATGGAATGGATTGATTATAACACTTTGATGACGGAGCACTGTTAATCAGGTGGGTGCATAAATGACAATTGCAACTAGCTAGTACTAGATTCCAAATTCATTACCTTTCATAGGCTTCATGTTGCTTATCAAAAAAAATATTCCAAATTCATGAGATTTAAATTATAGTCTAATTCCTCTTACATGAGGAAAGATTGATGTTGAAATTCAATGACATATCCATAATTGAAACCAAAGAAATGCATGATAGTTATAAATAACCAATTCAATTTAAAAACTTAAACTATTAAATAAAATTTTAAGATATAATTTGCATTATCCTCTAAACATAGCCCTTTAATTAAAAAAATCAATTTAATTTAAAAATTTATATTATTCTTTAAACAAAACAACACTACTACAAATACAAATACATATGATTACAAAACTTGTAATCGCTTGGTGATTAAGGTTTTGATATTATGTTAAAAAATCAATTTAACTTAAAAATTTAAATTATTAAATAAAATTTTTAAATCTAATTTATATTATTCTCTAAACAAAACAACACCACTACAAATACAAATACATATGATTACAAATATATATAGCCTAGCTATTTCCCATCACAAATCTCATTGCCATGTCACGGTTTCAACTCTATAGTTTAATGACCTGTTTCTTTTTGTGTTTCAAAAGTATTTTTAAAAAAATTTAAAATTTAATTTTTTTTTATTTACTTCAGATTAATATATTTTTAATGTTTTTAAATTATTTTAATATACTAATATCAAAAATAATTTTTTAAAATAAAAAAAATATTATTATCATGCATTTTGATACAAAAAATTATTTTAAATAGGAAATTGACTTTCAGGTTTTATGTATTTCGTACATACCAAACACAAGTAGCTCTCGACTGGCAAGTTTAGCTGTTACGTGATGCTCTAATTAATAGGATTCAAACTCCTAACTATGTGATTAAGAATATTATAATATTATGCTAAAAAATCACTCAATATTCAAAAAGTCTAAGCTATTAATTAAGAACTTAAGATCAGCAACAGTAAGAAAACACGGAAAGTAAGCACACTGGCTGCCTCTCAGTACCCTTTACTCATGATCTCTCAACTTCCCAGATGATCCGTTTCACAAAAAAAACAAAGCTTTCTTCCATTGAAGCTAGTCTGATTTCTGTCGAAGGGGGGCGAAATGAGCGATGTTGGTTATTACAAAACATAGAAATTTATTCATTGGAGTTGGCCTTGGGAGAGAGATGTCACCTTTGTTAAAGTTGCTTCGTTAAAGGCACAAGAATCTCAATGGAGGCAATTTAGTCTTGAAAATATTTGTAAGACACTCAGCATCCCTTGTTTTGAACTTTATAAAATCTCCCAATTCATTGCAAGGGGTCAGGAGGCATGTTTCACACGGGGAAAGTAAATTCTTGATGGTGTCTTAACAGTGTAGATACATGCTTCCATTGATTTTCAACTTTTATCTTCAAGCTGGAGCAAAGTAAGGAACTTTATTTTATTTTTTAATGTGTTTTGGATGTTATCTCATTCTATAAAAGGAGCAGCCATTGTTTATCACATGTCATGCCATAAAGATCAAAGTATATACTGTAAACTCTTTTAACTCTAATTCTCTGCCTTTCGAGAAGAACCTCCTGTAAAAAAATAAAAATAAAAACTATATATCATATTAATACACTTATAACTAGAAAATTAATGAGTCGCACAGAACAGTGCACAGAAGTGATGGTATACGTAAGTTGCTGAGTACATTCCCTTGCTTTCACTATGGTTTGGAATAAAGGTGGTTACTTTAATAGGCAGTGTTACAGCTTTAAAATGCCTAACATTCCCCTTATATGCATATAATGGTAAAAGAGCTTTATTAATGTCAATCAAAGAAAAGATCAGTGCAGGACGAAAAAAATAAAAAATAAAGTTTATCGTCGTCGTAGTCATCATCATTGTTGTCTCAAAAGACATTAGAATCCAGAATTAATCACAAAATTTCAATTACTTCAGTCAGTGTGCACAATCAATCTAGTGTTGAATATCTAATTCGGGTAAGGGATAATGAGAAAACGGTATCGTTTCCAATGCTTTCCTATAGAGGAATTGGCTTGTCACCTTCACTTTTTCATCATGAAAGAGATAAAATGTCATAGAAATTCCTCAATGTGATGTCCTTGTTAACCCATCCAAGAAAACACAGGACAGCGGCCCCCCGGTGAGAAAGATAATAGATTGCTTGTTTACAGAATGTTCTATCGTCTTCGCCTAAATGTATTGAGCCGATAATAGTAACCTCCTGTCACTATTTAAAAACTAATTTTGTATTTATTGATAGAATCATGAACAATTAATGTTAGTAAAAAAATCTACCATCGGTGGTTTATATTTTTTCAGCTATTTGATTGGTAATATATATTAATACCACTAAATTTCCAGTTAAAAAAACTACACCAGACAAAAAAAAATTACAAGCATTATTTTATTGATAATTTTAATGGTGATTATGTTATACCACCGATAAATAAAATTATTTATAATTTTATCGGTAATTTATCTTATTATTGATGGGCTAAAATCATTAGTAATTATTATATATTATTCATGGCAAAGTCATGTAATTATTATTTTTTAATTCTATGGGGATTTAGTTCGTAAGTGATTCTATTCATTTATAACAACGTCATGTAATTATTTTTTTTTTAACTCTATAAGGATTTAGTTCGTAAGTGATTCTATTCATAATGATGAGTGGCGTTCCATGTAATTTTTTTTAATTCTCTGAAACTTTTCAAAAGCCTTAGTCTGTTGGTAATTTTATTTGTATTTTCTTTAATATTTTTTTAAATCAAATAAAATGGTTAGAAAAAAGTTAAAAGAAATAAAACTAAAATATAAAAAAAATCAAATATTTATTAGAAATTTAAAAATTACCAATTTGAATACAATTCATCTAAATGACAAGTGCTAAAGGAGGAGGAGGCGAATGCAAATCTTTATCGAGACCAAATGCACTATCAAAAAATTGATAAATACAAACGGAAATACCGAGAGAATACTTTTGTCAAAAATATATTGACAGATTTTACCAACAATAATAGTCCCTCGGTATATACCGAGATAATTACAGTGAGAAACAAAATAATTTAAACAATGCAAAAAAAATTAATTATGAACAATGTTCATCATGTTAATTACAAAAGGAATCACCAACGAAATTGTTGATGAAATAAATTCCGTCGGTATTTTTCAGAGAGCTCTCGAACTGTTCACTTTCCAATTGCACTGTTAATTACTATTCTTTAAAGATAAAATCACTGACAAATTAAAAAGTCATCGGTGTTATTTGGTGGTTTTCTAAAAAAATTAGATTAAATTAAAATTTTAAATTAAATATTATCGATGGAATCACTAACGGATTAAAAAGTCATTGGTGATATTCGGCAGTTTCTGAAAAATTCTTATTAAATGAAAATTTTAAATTAAATATTATAGATGAAATCATTGACAGAATGATTAAAAATATTAATATTTAATTATTTATTTATAAAACATCCTAGTAAAAAGCCTAAAATCTCTAATTTCACAATAGACTCATCTCTTTTCTTCTTCTTCTTCTTCTTCTTATTCTTCTTCTTTCCCCCTATATGTAAAAAAACATTAATATTTATTTTCCCATATGTAAAAAAACATTAATATTTATTTTTTCTTCTCTTCTCTCCTCAACTCCTCTTCTCCTCCATGCTCATGTATGTTTTCTTCTCCTTTCTTATTTTTTCTTCTTAGTTTTTTTTAATTAGTATACTTTACAAAAAAAAAAATTTATCTTTTTAGCTTCTCTTGCAACTACATTAAGGTAAGATTTTTTTCTCTTTTTTCTCATGTTTTTCACTATATTTTTTTTTATTTTTAATTGTTTTTGTTCTTAGTAATTGTATGAATGCTGTTGTAGGATTTTTTTTCATATCAGATCAATTTTTAGTTGATTTTTTTATAGGATTTTAAAAAAAAAATCACATGAATTTTTTTAGTTGAATTTATTTGTTGCAAATTTGTTTGAGTTGATTTTCTTCTTCTTCTTTTCCAAGCATTTTGAGTATTATAGAGTGTTGATTTATATTAATTTAATTATTTTTTATTTCTATAAAATAGTTTTTTTTTAAATAATTACCGATGGAATTACATACAGTATTTTACTAAGGGAAATGCCAACAGAATGAAGTGGGTAATTTTTTTTGCTCGTATTTTCTATCATTAAATCCATCGATAATAGTGTTTTTTTATTACCAACGAACAAAAAATTATCAACACAAGATTCACTAATGAAGCATTTGCATTGGTGATTTTGTTGGTAAATTAATTACCAATGGGATGGGAGTGCAAATACCGACGAAATATTCCGTTTGTAGATCTAAAAATTGTGGTAATGATGAGGGATAAGGTAGACCACATTTACCACCCATGTTTGACAACAACTTCATGTACAATTGCTTAAGTTTGGTCATATCAACATTAAGTCGCTCTGTCTTAGTAGAAAGCCAGTCGTTTGAGCTTGAACTTGTTCTCATACAAGTGCTTGGAACTTTGGAGATTAAGAGCTTGAAGTAAATTGTGAGGAACCAATGGTCGATACATTATAGCTCATCTACATATTCTTAGTCATAGTATTTGAGATACCATAAAACTGATTTTATCAGGTCCAC